TAAAAGGAGGCTGGCACCATCCTCCTTAAACACCGCCTGCCAGAGGAGCCTCCTGCCCGCTCACAGCGCCCGGCCCGCTGCAGGCCCGCGGGTGCCTCCCGGCGCCGGGCAGCGCGCTGAAGGGGCGCTTCCCCGCCCGCGCCATGACGGCTGCGCCTCCCGCCAGCACCGCCTGTCCCGGGCTCCCGGAGCGCCCTGCCCGCCGGTGGGGAAGGGGGAATGGGGAACAGGGATATGGATGGCGCAGGGCCCGCGGAGCGCCACCACCCCCCACGGAGCGCTCCGCCCTATGCGCGGCCCCTTTAAGGTGCTGGGCGCGCCAAGGCCCCGCGCGCCGGGACCGGCCCCGCCCACGGACACAGCGCGCCAAGCCCGCCCGCGCGCGCCGGCCCCGCCCCTCCCAGCCGCCGGCCCAATCAGCGCCTCTCGCTGGGCCGCCTGCCCAATAGGATGGCGGCACCCGCGGCGCCGCGAGCTAGGGCCCCGCCTCCTGGGGCGCGGCCGCCGGCTTCCTCGCCTCGCGATTGGCCGGCGGGAGCGCGCGCCCCGTGACGCTCGTGCGCGGTGATTGGCTGCGCGCGGGCGCGAAACGTAACGCGGGAAAAGCGGCGGGCCGGGCCGGGCGCGGCGGCTCCTGCGGGCGCTCCGGGATCGTGCGGGCGCTGCCGCCTCTCCGGGCGGAGGGGCGCGGGGGAGAAAGGCACCGAGACCGCGCGGGGCCGCCGTGCCCGGGGATGAGCGGCTGAGGCGGAGCCGCGCGGCGACAGGTGGCGGCGGCCGCGGGACCTCCGTGCGGCCACACGACACACCGCGGAGAGCCCTCCCTTCCGTCTCACCGCGCTCCCGCCGCCGCTGCCCGCGAGGGGTCGGCGATGGCGGAGCGGCTGCCGCCAGGCCCCCCCTCGGTGATTTTTTGCCAGGACTCGCCGAAGCGCGTCCTGGTCTCCGTTATCAAAACCACGCCGATCAAGCCCTTCCCGGCGTGGGGCGGCGGAGAGGAGCCGATGCCCGTCCCGCCGGTCCCCACCAGCCCCGGCTTCAGCGACTTCATGGTGTACCCGTGGCGCTGGGGCGAGAACGCGCACAACGTGACCCTCAGCCCCGGCGGCGGGGACGGCACGGCCGGGCCCTCAGCGCTGCCGCCGCCCCGCGGGGCCGCGGGCAGAGCCCCCGCCGCGGACGAGGAGCCGGCGGGGAGCGGCGGCCGCCACCGGCACCCCAAGGTGAGCCGGGGATGGGGACCCACCCGCGGGGCCGCCCGGGCATTTAAAGGCTGGACACTTCCGGCAGCGCCGCGGGCACGGCGGGGCGGCTCGGGATTGGGATGGGATCGGGATGGGATCGGGATGGTGTCCGTGGAAAAGCCCCGTGCTCTGCCCTCCCAGCGGCAGGGCCGTGCCCGGTCCGGGGCTCCCCAGGACCGTGGGGACAGGGAGCTCCTGCGGTGGGCACAGCACGGGCTGCGAGGGGGATCAGGGGACAGGAGCGTCTCACACCAGGAAGGGCTGAGGGAGCCGGGCCTGCTCAGCCCTGAGAGGAGACGCGGAGGGGACCTCGTCAAAGCCCGTAAATACCGAGTGGGGGTGCCAGGAGGACGGAGCCAGGCTCTGCACGGTGGTGCCGCACAACAGCACAAAGGGGAACGGGCAGAAACACGCACAGAAAGTTCCACCCGAACGTGGGGAAGGCGTTCTTTCCCGTGTAGGTGGCCACACACTGAACGGATTGGGTTGGTTCTGTGCTGTCAGGGCACCGCTGTCACCGTCCTCAGTGCCGGCACTGCGGGGCGTGCTGTGCTTGTTGGCCGTGCTGGGAAGGTGCTGGGGTTCACTTCCCTTGCTGTTTTTACACCCAGGATGTGATCAGACGCGGCCGGCCGAGAGCAGACACCGTCCGAGACCTGATCAGCGAAGGGGAGCACTCCTCCAGCAGGATCCGCTGCAACATCTGCAACAGGGTCTTCCCACGAGGAAAGTCGCTGCAGGCCCACAAGCGCACTCACACGGGTGAGTAAAGGGGTGCAAACGAGCCACAAAGCAGCCCCTCAACACTCGGCCTGATAATATTTTATTGGAACTGCGAAATTAATCGTACTTTACTTCCAGCGCTTGCCGGTCACTCAGAGGCTTTGTGTTTGTGTGGGGAGGTGTAGCAGCAATTTGGGCTGTAAGAGTATAGACAAATTACAGAGATATTTTATCTGTTGCAGTCACGGACTTAATTTGTAAGAGCGAGAACTTTCCTGTTATTTAATTCCCTATTGGTGTTGTGTTTTTCACGCCACAGTGGAAGTTTTCCTGTAAGAGGTTGCAGTAACTTAGAAAGTGGATGACAACTTCAGCACTGTAACACCCTAGAAGTGTAGCTTAAATGTTGAGAAGAGAGTCCATGTGCTTAAAAGTAGCGCCCAGTTGTTTTTTCCCACCACCTAGGATTCATTTTCAAGAGTGGAAGTGCTCATGCTAATTCTCTGAACAGTATTTAGAAGGCAGCTTGCAGTTAAGTGAAAGTGTATGATGAACTCATTCAGCTGGGCTTCAACTGGAGATACTGTTGGTTTAGGTTTTTCAACCAAGCAAATACATTTTTTTTTTAATTAATGTTTCAGCAGCACTCTGTATTTGCAATAAGGTGTGAACTAACATAGATCACAGCACAGACACAACCACCAGCACTCCCCCCAAGCCAAGCAAACAAAAGCCCACACAAACCTTGGCTCCCACCTTCTCTTCTTCTGATTCAAGTCCCTAAAACTAATCTAGATAATAAATTTAAACAGCAGTTTCCTTGTGGGTTTTTATTCAAAAGACAGTATTATTTCACCTGGTTGTGCAAGGAGCTGAACTTTTAAAGAACTACTGAACTAAGCAGAGCTTGCCCTGGTGTCATTCCTCTGAGTCACCTTTGTGTGGTCTCCTCCCTGAGGAGCCTTTGCATACTGCCTGCAGTCCTCTCCAGGAAGGAGACACCTGCTGCCTTGTTTCTTCTGGTTGCAGTTTGCGTGGAGAAGTCTTCCTCTGTTCTAAAGAAAACTTTGTTGACTTAGGTCTGGAGTAAGTTTCTTCTGCAGCCTCCATCATTATGACTTTTCTCAGAAGCGAGACTTTCTCCCAGTGAGATATTTCTGCAACCTCATATGCTATTGTAATGTTGACATCAAGTATTTCACCCTAGTTCAGGCTGTGTTAAGGGTAAAATTTCTCTGATTACAATTTGAATTACTTTACTTGTCCATTTATTTCCTCTGTTTCTTGCTCTAAAGGTCCATAGTTTCACGGGACAAAGCTTATGTGGTGTTATCCCAGAGTCTTAAATCAGAAAACACGACAAGGGGAAAAATATACTTCTTTTCCTCTCTGGAAATAAGTATATTGTCCAGTAGCATAGAACATGTACTTCAGAGTAAACGTGGATTTTTTGAGTAGGTGCAAGTGTCTGACTGGCTAAAAGCAAACTTGCTTGTTTAAGGCTCAGGCCGGGGATCAACACTGGATGCTGTGACTTACAGTCAGCTTTCATAAATCTCTGTTCCTTATTTTCAAGGTGAAAGGCCCTATTTATGTGACTACCCAGATTGTGGGAAAGCCTTTGTACAGAGTGGGCAGCTCAAAACTCACCAGCGTCTCCACACGGGAGAGAAACCATTTGTCTGCTCGGAGAGTGGTGAGTCATCAGACAACAATTTGCAGCATTCTAGGGTCAGACCAGTACTGGAAGTGTACGCAAGTTCACTTGGCAAAGATACATAAAAGCTCCGGGAGTTTAATTTTTGGCGGGACTTCTGGGGTAAGTGGGCAAATGTGTATCTAAGGCTTGCATATGTTCTCTGCCACTGGATACTAATGTATAAAATTACATGTATGTATATATATGTATATAATGTATAAAATGGCACGTTATGAACCATGCAACTACAGCATGCTGTTTTCAACCAAACTTGGGGTTGGGTGATAGGTGGCCCCTTCATCCCACAGATGTTACGCTCAGTCACCGTCTGGCTGCTCTCCGTAACGTGTTCTTCATTTCCACTGTGTGTTTTTAAGGCTGTTTGAGCAGATTCACTCACGCAAACCGTCACTGCCCAAAGCATCCCTACGCCCGGCTGAAGAGGGAGGAGCTCACGGACAGGCTGACCAAGAAGCTGACGGCTGACAACAAAGCTGTGGCTGAGTGGCTAGCAAAGTAAGTTCCCTCACGGTGTCACCTTTCTTGAAACGCTTACAAGGGTGGTCTGACAAAGCGTTTTACTCTTCAGAACAGTAACACCCCCCCCCCAACAAACCAAAACTATGCGCTCCTGCAGTAAATATCAGTCCTCCTTAAGGAGTCTGAACTCCCTTAAGACAAAGTTCCTCGTGAGACTTTTTTTTCTTCCAGTTTTTTGTTTTGGTTTTGCTCTCTGCTTAAATGCCCTTCTTTGCTTGATCAGCACCTGCTAACACCTTGTTAGTGCTACAGTCTTGCTGAATTTGCCCTTGTGCGAGGGGCAGCAACTGTGTCTGCCTGCTGGGAATACCACGTAGAGGAGAAGTCTGTCACAGGTCTTCACTTGGGCGCTTTACACTTAAAATACTGAATGAATAAGGTTTCTGACAGCTTAAATGCTGCCATATAAGGGCTGAATACAGTCAAGTGCAGTGCTTAGTCGGATGCAGGGCAGGTTTCCAGCAGCTGTGGGTTGCTGTGCTGAGTCAGGTGTACTCGTTTCACAAGGCTCTCCCCGCCTCTGGTGTTTACAGGTACTGGGAGACCAGGGAGCAGCGCGCCCTTGCTTTGAAAACCAAAGCAATCCAGAAGACGGACCAGGAGCAGCAGGACCCCCTGGAGTACCTGCAGTCGGATGAGGAGGAGGACGAGGAGAAGAGCAGCGCCCGCTCAGCCGCCTGCCTCCGCCGCCTGCAGGAGCAGCGCGAGCGCATGCACGGAGCGCTGGCCCTCATCGAGCTGGCAAACCTGGCCGTGGCGCCCCTGCGGCAGTAGATAGGAGCAGTCTGCCCACACAGAACGTACCTGCTGGTGCCACTTAACCAGTTAGACCCCGAGCATAAGCTAAGCACCTTATTTGCTTATTACATAGGCTGCTATCTTGTAGAATTTATGAAGAATGTCGTTGCCCCGCAACGCGGGGCGAGAGAATTGCACTTTTTGTTGAGGTAGGAGACAGGTGTAAAGTTTCTTAAGTATTTTGTAAATATGGGGTTGGCAAAGTTACGTGTCACGGGAAGCTAGATTTTGCAAGGTTAACTCATTTATTTGGAGCAGTTTTCGCAGGAAGCACTTGCTGAACAGAGCCTTCGCAATCAGCAGAATGGTACACGTGGCCAAAGAAGGCTGACAAAAAGAATTTATCTGACTATTTAAGCAAATTTATAAAAAAAAAATGATAGGTCTGGGGATACTGTTAAACAGAAACAAAACTGTGTTTTTTCTAATGTGTCAGTATGTCTTTACCTAGTATCAGCAGGGTGAAAGGCAAAGGTTAATCATCTCAGCTTGCAGTGGGAAAGGAACTGCTTCATGCAGGAAAACCCTAAGGTTGTTCAGTATCTTCACTGTGACTGCTCAAGGTATGAGGCTTGACTTTGCTGCTTTACATTTTCTGATTTGATTTCAGCAGAATCTCTTGGTAGCACTTGTTATTCCTAACATGTGATGTTGGGAACTTTTGCACATTGTTTGTTTTATCTGAAAATGATTAGTCTTGCAAAGTCTAGACAAAACAATTGGTAATACTTTTTCAGATGTTTTTTTTGACCCTGTAGTGATTTGGCACTTGACTTTGTTTAATAAAGGGGGTATTTACAGGGTGGTGTGGATCTGTAGTAAAGTATTCCAGATCTTTTATTAGCAAACACTAAGTTTTAAAGTATTGCTTTTATATGATGATCAGCAAGTAGGAGCCTCCATACTTCTGTGCCTAAAGCCACCTTACTGCTTTATTTCAGGATAACATGCCGATTTTGTGTTCACTAACCGTAGCACCGCTATCAGTTAAACACTGCAGGAGAGTATTCACTATACAAATAGGAAATAGGCTTCCAAAGATAGATACAAGTGTGTTAACAGTTGGATTTCATGTATTTCCCAAATAAATGAAGTTACAGAATGCTGCCTAGTACTCATGCTGATGTAAAATGTTTAACAGGGTATCTTGTCACTTTGAGAATGTTGAGTGCTTTTCAGTAGCAGTCTCACGGTGATCTTTTTCCATACTTTGCTTTGAAGGCAGACAGAGATTCCTAATATTCTAACAAAGGTTTGTGTTCAGATGGGACTTCTTGTTGTGTGGTTTTGTTGTTGGTTGTTGTTATTAAGCTACTGCTTAAGGGGATATTAATAATGTGCATTTACTGACGTGCTTGCTTTAACTTCTTCCTTTTGTTGAAGGTCAGGAAATTCAAATGAGAAGGGAAGCCTCTTTCCCTCTCACTTAAACAAGAGGAAGAAATAATTTTATCAATGACTTGATAAAGGCTGACCAGATGCATACAGCTGTTCCAGAAAAGTAGAGAGGTTTTACACCAGGAACTGCAGCTAATGAAGTGTGTTCTCTGATAACCTGTTGTGTTTGAAAATCTCATTAACCCAGTTCATTTAAACCTTGTGTTGATGCACTTCGCTAAAGAGTAATTGAATAATTAAAATAAAAATCGCTGTCATTGAATGTAAGTAATTTTGCACCAGTGATACGGTTTAATTTTTGCTTCAGCTCCTGAAAAAAAGTAGGAAACACCAGTCTTACTAGGCTTCTCAGCCTATGTAAAACTGGTAGTTCATGTGTGTGGGATTTGAGTTTCTCAAAAAAATTACATGCTGTAATTACAGACTGTTAATCTGGCTTCACGCAAATAATCTGATCCCAAAATGAGCCCTGGACATAAATCCGTTGCAATTCTGAATCATAACTCAGAATTGCTCCCGAGTAGTATTTCACAGGGCGGAAGACTCTGTAATTGCCAGGTGGTTGCAGACTGGTGTCATAAGATTTGAGTTTTTTTCCCTAGTCAGCTGTAATGCTTTGGGCAACTTGCAGGGTATTTTCCTCACATATGACAAGTACACTGACTTGTACTTAGCCATAGACAAAAGTTCAGACAGCTGAAGCAGTTTTGGATCATGACAGGTTTTGGGTAAAATACCAAGTAAAAGAAAAACCCGGTGTGTGTTAAGACTGCTTTTTATTTTATTAAGTGATTTATGTACAAGGAGTTGTGAAGTGTTCAGTGCTTTGAAAGATTAAGTTGTAGTTTGGCATGAGTTAAAAGCAGAAGAGTTGATGTGCTGTCATTCTAATAGACGCTTTGAATAAAAAGTTTAATTTTCAGGTTCGGTGTGTGCTGTTTGGTTAAGTGTTCAACCTCCTCCTTGTTTCTGTAATCCTGGCAGCCCGATTTGTCACAGAGGGTGAAGGTATTTCTTTTTTTCCCCTGTCGGTCCACGTTTGACCCGAGTTAAACCACCCGAGGCGAATTCCACGGAGAGTTTTTTACAGTTTGACAGACCCGTGTGAGCGCTGCTGGTGTGGAGCCGGGGCTGGCTGTCCCCTGTCCCTACCCCCTGCCTCCTGTCACTGTCCCTGTCCCCTGTCCCTGTCCTCTG